AAAAATATAACAATAATAATAATAATAATAATAATAATAATAATAATAATAATAATAATAATAATAATAATAACAATAACAATAACAATAAATAAGAATGAAAAATTTCAAGTATCACAGTTTACAGAAATATGTTAAACATGAGCTAACACTTAACAATAGCACATACCAGCCTACATTTGAAAACAACTAATCTAGGGGGAAAATCTATCATTTCAGTAAGGAGAATGCTGTTTCTTCATTTTCTTACAATACAGTTTTTAAAAATTCACTAAACAATGGAATTGTTCTTTTCATCTTGTCTGATTCCAATCAGAGATTTTTGTTTTTAAAGACAGAGTCAGATCATGAGACAATTAAAATAAGAAGCCAGCTATTTAGATTTGGGGTGAGGACCAGAGATTTAGGTCAGCGGTTCTACCGTGTGCCTCGCAAGCGCAAGGACCCGAGTTCGATCCCTGGTACCAAAAATATATATACATATTTGGGGTGAAAGGCATGTGTACTCTCAAACAAGGAGAAAGACTTACCTCCAAACTTAAAAATCCCCCATCGTGGGTAGCAGTGACTTGGGGTGATGGTTCAAACCATTCACAGGATCTTCCGAGTAAATTCTTCAAAGTTTTCACGGAGAAAATGGTTAGAGCACCAGAGCATCGAGCCAAAGTCACCGCACCATCTGCCCACCAATTGACATCTATCAGCGGGTACAAGGACTCCTTATCTAATGGGGAAAAGGTCCATGGCTTAAATACAACACATTTAATATAAGAATTCACCAAACAATCCAAATTCATCCTATTATTTGTGCCCTAAAGCTATCTAAAATAATGAGAAGCAATAAAATTGAAGTTATCACTCAAATTTTTATTCAAAGAAGAGGTACAAAATGGCACAGGAATTCACAGAAAGAACATCTGAGTGCTGGTGGTCAGGGAGTCAAAGTCCGAAGCTCCAGGGACAAAGAGGTAAATGAAGTCCCTCTTCTCAAAATAAAAAACAGAAAGAAAAAAGTACACATTCAGGAAAGAGATGTGTCACCATTTTTGACTCAGTTAAAATTAGGTGTGTATGAAGTGTACATACACAAAGGTTACACAAGATTTTAGAAACTGAATATCTATCACCTTCAGACAAACAATGAGAGAACTATACCCTTTTAATAAATAAAAGACAGATATATAATAGCTTCCAGGGCTGATTTCCTCCCAAACATTTAACTTACGGAGGGAAGCCATTTGAGGCCAATAAAGAATTTTTAGAGATTAAAATGAATTACAGTTTACCAAACTGAAAAATTCCATGGGAAATGTTATGATATTTATTATAATTTTACTGAACTTTTTTTAACATTAGCTGCCCCAAAAAAGGGTACATAATGGTTTACAGGAAACACATATAAAAATAAGCCATAAATTTAAAAATATATTTAAACTAAGGAGAAAGATATTTTTGCAAAGGCACACATTACCATGAAAATTACTCATTATTTTAATAACAACAAAGACCATAACACCATTTTCTTCCAACAGAAGCCATAGACAATTCATACAAATAAGGAATTTCAAGAACATGTGAATTCGCTTGGGGCTTATAGTCTCCCAAAGTAGGAAGGAAAGAGAGTCATTTAAGTCACATTCGAGCTTCTCACTTGAGAAATTATTACTTTTCCTCAAAAGTGTTTCTGAATATTTTGGATGATTTTTTTTTTTTTTAATGTTTTCCAGTACCAGGGATCAAACTCAGGACCTTGTGCTTACCAGGCAGGCATGGTGCCACTGAGCTAAATCCCCAACCTCTGAATGATCATTTAACAAAGCAGATAATTCAAAACATAAAACATGATATACATGATAGTAATCATTATTTTTACTGCGTTTAAATGTAAATTTTAAAAGTATAGTACAGATTTTGAAATTTATGAATATCACTGATTTCATAGGAGACATCTAAAAACTCAGAAAAATTTAACTTTCACCTAATAGTTTCACCTAAAATAATTTGATCCTGGGGCTGGGGGTGTGGCTCAACAGTAGAATGATTTGCTAGCATGCAGAAGGGCTGGGGTTTGATCCCTAGCACTAATGGGGGAAGAGAGGAGGGGTGTGAAGGGAAGCAAAAGAAGAAACATGATCCTTAGTAAAAAATAAAACATTAAACTCAAAGTGACCCTTTGTAACCCTTAAATTTTTTATTTATTGCTTTTAGGCAATTAAATAACAATTACTTTATTTAAACAGAAATCTTCATTTTCCTACTTGTAAAAATAAAATTAGTGCATTTTAAAAGTAAATTATTTTACTTTTAAATACAGTTTTGTTTGTTTGTTTATCTCATTGAGTTTACTGGTATATTTTAGGTATACAGTACAATTACATTCATCATTGGGATCTTGCACCTTTACATGACAGGTCTTGGTTCTCATTTTTTCCCCTTATCCCTGCCCTCCCTTCACCCCCTCCTTCCTACAGATGTATTTTTAAAAAGTTCACCCACCAGCCTAACCCTAATCTCTTCCCACCCAGAGAGAACTGCAGCAGTTGTTCTGTGATGACTCTCTTACAGCTAGCTCTCTGGGGCATGTGCCCTGAGATCTGAACTCTGTGAGACATCTCAGGGCTGGCCCAAAATAGGGGAGCCATGCTGCCCTTGTTGGGTCTGCCTCAGCCTCAGGAAAGCCCTAACATCAGAACGCTGGTTCTATTCCTTGTTCTGGTCCTATGAATTCTAAGTGTCTCTTCCAAAGGGAAACAAAAGTAACTGGAAACTTTATATCATCTAAAGAACTCCTTGGTAATAAAAGGTGTCCCTCAAGATTTCAATGATCACATTTCTTACAACTCACCTTTTATTTTTTTTCTCTTCTCAGTAGAGAGCTTCCAATCAGGATTAAGGTCATCATAGCCTGGCTAAATATGAAAATTTGGGTCAGCTAAGTAAAAAAATTGTGACAAAATCATCAAGAGCTATGGAATTTTTAAAATAATAAGACATGGAAAGATACATTTCCCATGATCTCTACCTTACAACTAATTTAAATCTTCACTATACCAGTCTGGAAAAGCAACTGCTTTCACACTTAAAATTTTCATGGAGCAGGGATTAGACTCAATTTTAGGAAAGAAACAGCATGAATAAGAACAATAAATTCATGAGTATACAATTAATACAAATGAAAGCAAGATACAGGAAGAATTTATTCTACACACACACACACACACACACACACACACACACGGACACACACACACACCCTGACACATCAGCAGGAGGCAGCCATGCTGCTATGAATCAGCACTGGCATGTGCACACCAAGTTCTGCCCTAGGTAGCAACCCCTGCATACCCTGGTTTTCACAGCACTGAGACTGGACAAGGCAATTTCCATTTTACATTCTAGTTTTAATTTTCTATGACTAAACCTTTACTTGGTAAAAACATATAACACACAATATTTAAATTGAACTCATATATATTCTAATCTTGCGACAGCATAGGGTTATAGTCACCTTTAGGAAAAACAAAGCTATGACAATCTCTCTCCAATTTTGTAAAGCAACTGAGATTAAACCACTGCCAGACATCCTCTGGTCTTAACAGAGGGCTTACCAACTTAACTTAGGTCCTCACATAATCTCCAGAACTGCAATAGTATGAGAAAAGATCAGCTAAAAAATCATTTGGATATTTAGTTGAAATTTTAAATCTAAAGCAAAGAAAACAAAACAAAACAGCAAAAACAGTGTCGCCAACAGAGTGACTGTACTTCACAATAAGGCATTACTTATTTTATAAAGAACTACAAGAGAGGAGTTCACAGGTTCTCAACACAACCAAGTGACAAATGCTCTGGAGAAGGGATATGCTCATCGCCCGAATTTGATCATCATACGCTGCACACATGTACCCGAGTACCACACTGTACCCTTCACGTACATGCAATTATTGTCCTGAAAACATTTTTCATATTATAAAAAGAAATGCATTTTAAACAAAGTGCACATTGTCGTGTACTGCAACAAAGAGTACATGCTTTATCATCAATTTATTAGTGGCTGATCCTTTAGAATATTAAAAAGTCTGTTTCTTCCCATAGACTAAAAACTTCCTGCTTGTCACTACTGAGCATCACTTCGTGCTGTCCCTGAGGACAGAAGATAAGATCTCCAAACTTTACCAGGAAAACAGTTACAACAAAAGGTGGTGTGTCTGCCAAGGGAAGAAGTGAAGCATTGCAGTTTCTTTAAACACCAAAAAAGATGATTAAGTTTCCAAGAATTAGAATCCAATAAGGTGCATGTTACAGAAAATAATCAACTAAACTTGCATCTAGTTGATCGTTTTTGAGGCTCTTTCGAGTCTCTGATCCACCCTGCAAGGACCGTACAAGTTTGTGATGCCCACGGCACCTCCTGCTTCCATTCTGGAGCACACAGGGCACTGTGGATAAAACCCTAAGCCTGACTCCTCAGCTGGGCCTTGTGTAGGGACACACAGACCATAATGAAATTTCATAAGGGTTGTTCCTGAGAAACAAGCTACAGAAGAACCATCTCATCTGCAGGTCTTGCTAGCTGTCTTCATTAGTCAGCAGGGGGCCCCCCGAGGCCCCGTGTGGCTCCTCAGCCAGGGTCCAGAACAGGATACACGGTGTGGCAGTGTGGCAGTTTGGCAGGCCCCAGGTCTCTGAAATGAAGGCCACTGGGGAGGGCTAGGGAGCAGGGTCTGTCTGGCCTCTGTCCTTGTCTTCAGAGCATCATTCTCCCTGCAGGAGTCACAGGAAGCAAAGCTCCGCAGGCCCAGGGTCATGGAAACCAGAAGTCCTGCCCTCCGAAGCACTCCAGGAACCCTCCGAAGGTGACTATCTTCCTCACTCCTTGAGGATCCTAGAGGGGCAAGCTGGGTAGGGCATTCCAGAGGGCCCAGCAGACTGGACGGACCGCAGGGCAGTGCCCATTCCACTTTGACCGGCAGAGCGATGCTTCTCACCCGATCACTCTCCTATGTGCTGGCCCTGCGTCACCAAACCTAGAAACAAGTGTGCAAGGCTCTGCCTTGGTCTCTGGGTCTTCACTTCTGAGTCTCCAGTATCACCTGAAGCTGGGGCTGAAGGGCTTGTGCTCTTTGCTCGCTCATCTGTCTGAACTGGACTACTCTGCCGACTTTGCAACACAAGGGTGCTCAGGGCTGACTTCCTCCACAGCCTGCAGGGACACCTGGACACATGACAAGAAGCTGGCACGGAGAAGGAGGAACGTTCTATGCCTGTGTTGGCTCTCCTGGCTGCCTGCCTAGAGTGCCCACCTGGTACGCAAAGTAAAGCTCCTCTTTTCAAATTCAGGTGACCAGTAGAAAATCATGTTACTAAACAAACGTGTAAGCTTTTCTGTCTTGTAAGAGATGTGTCCTGACCCTAAGTTAAACAGTGAGGAAAGGACTCATGCATTCTGCCCCGATATATCCCACCTTCCATATGTTTACAAGGAGCCAAAGACGCCAAAGCTGCTGCCCTGCAGCAGCGCCGCAAGGAGGACTTGCTGCACCACGTGCACTCTGCTCGCAAGAACCACGAGGGCTGAGCACCGTGTGCTTCTTTCTGACTGAAGGGCTCACTTTGCTGGGCATTTTAACCTCTAGAATCCGGACATAATGAAGTCCCTGCTGCCAACATTCCCAAAACCAGCATTTCACGTGCTTGTTCATTCCACAAATACTTATTGGTGCTTAATGAGCTACTCCTGTAGAGCCTATGGGTACGATACAGTCTGTACCAGCTCTCCAAGAGCTCACAGTTAACCACGCTGTAAGGCAGCTGTGGATCCTACTGAGCTGAGCCACATAATCTGCCATCCTCCCACTTAGCCTTCACTGATTCACCCTTTTCACAGAGTTAGGCTAACACCTACTATATGTAAAGAGAAAAGAACAGGAAAGATAAGTACCAAGAGGCGAGTAATAAACTTCTTCAGAGAAAAATGAAGGCCAAATATGAAATGTAAAGATAAAAACATATGGAAAATGTGAGAAATGAAAACCATTAAAGCAATTTTATTCTATTCCAGACATGAACAAAATGTAACACTCACAGATTTCTAGCCAGATGGGTTTTCGTATTGACAACGAAAGCCGAGGTATTTAATCAAGCCCAAATTGGATGGGAGTAAATTCAGGATAGGCACCTCCATAACCATTAGGTTTTACAGAGGAAATAATCACACAAATAGTTATAGAAACTGATAAAGCCGAAAACTGCATGAAAAACGCTCTGCTCCAAATAAGAGGAATTCACCACCCCGCTGGCAGAGAGCGAGGTCGTCCATCAGCGCCTGAAGTCATAGGTTCTAACCCCACCAAGTCCCTAAGGCATCACCAGTTTCCCAGAGCCAAGCAAGGTGCAGTGCTCACTCGATTCCTGGGGGCAGAGGACAAAGCTGCAGCTGTCTTGGGGGTTTTCAGAGTTCGGGTTCATCTTTAAAGGAACTCAGTGCCCAGACACACAGGTACCTGTGGCTCTGGTCAGTGGCAGTGTGACACCGCCCACATATCCCGCACATCTGCACACCTCTGGGCACCTGTGCAATGAGCCACCTGAGACAGAGGCTGTCACTCAAGAGGCAACATGCCTCCCTTCCATCTGTATCTCAGATGTTGGCACCTCAGCTACCAGATAAAAGTCGGACTGAATGTAGAAAGTGTGTAATACTCTGAACAAAGGCTCAGCATATGGAGCCAGAAAACCTGAATCAAAATGGAATCTTGAGCCAGGAGTGACGGTACAAATCTGATAATCCTTGCACTCTGAGAGGCTGAAGCAGGAGGATCTAACGTTCAAGCTCATCCTGGGGAACTTAGCAAGACAGTTATCTTTTTATAATATTAGCATGTTATTTTAATATTTTGTTTATTACTTCCCCCTCAAGACTATGAATATTTTAAGAACAAGAACTGATACCATACTTTCTGCTCCAGAACTTAGTAGAGATTCAATAAGTAGTTGAATTTTATTATTTTATAATTACAGTTAAGTCCCCAACTTACAAATGAGTTCCATTCCAGAAGAGCATTCGTAAGTTAGATTCATTCATAAGTCTGACAAAATGAGTCTTATACACCTTTGACACAAATTACAAACATCTGAGTGGTGAACTTTCATAGTGTGAAGTATAAAAAAACCAACAGCGAGGTCTGTTCCTATCTCTGAAAGTTCACAACTTGAATGTTCCTAAGTCAGGGACTTACTGTAAGTTATCATATATATAGGAACAACCTACCCTATTTCATAGAACAGTTATATATAAGCTTTATTGCACTTTCTACAGCAGGCGGGATCTTATGAATACACACACTAAAGTCCAATCTAAAACACTCAACTGAATGTGACTGATTCCTGGGTACAGCTGGAGGACTCCGAGTGCAGCTGTCCACGGTCCCCTGCTGTACCCCATGGCCGCTGCCTCACGAGAGTCCTGGACTCTGCTCTAAGTGACAGGCTTACCGAGCACAGCTTCTCAAGTCCACTCTGGCACTGGGTACACACTATTAGGTCAAGAGTTGCACACATCTGCCAGGGCTGAAGAAATCTGTATTACACCTGCTGAGAAGAAGGGCTTATCTCTGTGCTTTTACAGACCATCACATATAACAGAAGCCTTGTAAAATGAAAAATCAAAAAGTAATTCCTGCCAGGGATTTAGCTCAGTGGTTCTGCTGCCTGCCTTGCAAGTGCAAGGTCCAGAGTCCAAAAAGAAACATTAATTCCTAACCTACTGTCTTCCTAAACTACTGCACACAAATCTGACCTTTCAAATAAAAGGTTGTTCCTAAACTCAGGTCACACCAAATATCACGGAGACATGAGCATGTCCTGGACACACTGGCATTCACTAGCCTAAGGAAGACGCATCCTTCCACCTGTCTCTATGTATTTACTTTTTCACAAGCTCATGGAAAGGGCACAGATATCAGAATCAGAGAGAGGAAATCAAATTTCGGCTCACTGCTTTCTCACTGCATAAGCCAGAACAAAGCAAGTGCTGGCTAAGGAACAGGGATGCTGACAGGAGAGGACACTCTGTAAGCCACCAGGGAATCTCGTGTCCACAATGCACTGATCCACTAAACTGCGCAGGTCTGAAATAAGTGTTCTGGAGGGAGCTGGTGTGGGTGTGGAGGCGAAGCCTCATGGTGTGTTTATGAAGCAAGAAGAGCTTCAAGAGCACAGGAGAAAGTGTCTGACAAAAGCAGGGCACAGGAGAGGGGCTTGAGGGGGAATGGAAGCTGCACAGGGACCACAGTAGGAGAGATGGCACAAGGCCTGGTGCTGTGACCCCTATATAGCTTTAGGATTTTTTTTTTTAAACTTTTTTTTTTTGGTACCGGGGATTGAACTCGGGTCCTTGCACTTGCAAGGCAGGCCACCGAACCACTGAGCTAAATCCCCGGCCCTAGCTTTGGGATTTTAAAGGAAAAACCGGATAAAAACAAACACCTTTCATGTTTCCAACTTTGGACTGGCTGGGGTGTGTTGGGCAGCAGTGGGGACAGCGACCACAGCCTGGGACATATCCTTGGTGATGGCAACCAAGGCTTCCATTCCACAAACCCAAGAACCTGTGTTTTCCAGGTTACCCAGGCACTCAGGGAAACCATTCATAGCAACCAAATCAAGATATACTCCTGGGTAACTGAGAAGACTTACTTACACAAGAGACACCAGCAGCCTGGGAACCGAGCTGCCTCCCCCATCCGACACAGACAGACTGGCTGTCTCGACAGACGTGGAGCCCAAAGAGCTCAGGGAGTGCAGGATCGGCCAGGGGAGGAGCTGGCTCGGTGGCCAGGCTGCAGCAGCGCCCTCCCAAGAGCCCAAGGAGTTTCTGTGTACTGGCGACCATAGAGGCACAGCAGTCAGGCCTCTACACTGCACTCATCCCTCCCACAGCACCTCTTCTGCTTCTGAAATCCCTGCCTTTCCTGCCATTTCTTTTCCGATTGTATATTTGAAATTCCTGACAAAACATCATTCATTCATTCCCAGGTTTCAAGGTTTTTAAACAGTTTTTATGTTTTTTGAATAGAACAACTATAAGAATCTAATCAATGAATGATATTAAAGATAAATAAATCACAATGGCATTAAATAAAACTAATGACAAAGAAAAAAGAGCTTAATCAGGTAAAAAAAAAAAAAAAAAAAAAAAGAGCGCCTGCAGGGACCAAAACAAGATGCAATTTATCTTTGCAGGTAAACAAGGGTCCCCAGGATCACAGCAAACAATAGAGCATGCTAATCAATTTCATTACAGATAGCTCTCCCACGACAGGCACGATATCCTAGGACATTCACAAGATGAAATTTTCAGAGTGCCTCAGAAGTTGATCAATACTTCGTTTACATGAATGAAAATAATTTAAGAGAAAAGAAGTGGGAGCAGGAAGAAAAGCTCTTATTATTCAGAGTTCCACCATGTGAAAACACACTGCCCAAATGTAAAAGTTCCCAAGTACAGATGGAACAGCAGCCTCCTGCCACGTCACCACACTTGCTAACTGAGAAAAATACACAGTATTTTGGAGCAATTATCTGAATAACGCCTTTTGTCTGAATACACATCCAAAGCATGTTTCATGGCTTGGAAGCACAAGTAATGTGAACTAGAGAAGCAAACGCCCTGAGTGCAGCTCAGCTGCCTCCCCGCAGCAGGGGCCTCAACAGCCAAGGGCGCCGACCAGTTCTGAGAAGCGACCACCCCACCTCTGCAGGGAGGACATCAGAAGTTACCTCTACTGTGACTGCAGAGCAGAGCAGATGCACTTCATGTGTGGCTGGCAAGGCCACAGCCTAGGAGCAGCTCTTCCACTTAAATTCAGCTCCAGTGAGTAGACACAGTGAGTTGCATCAAACTGGAGGTGACTAGGAATAAGCAATGTCATAGCTCATGTCTAGATGTGCTCCCCAAAGCCTCACGTGGCCATAGGTGGGGAGTTTCAAAGTTAGCTGGATTAGGGACTATGAATGTGGATTAAGTGTGTGATGCTGGGATTGAGGGTGCCCCACCCCAGGAGTGGGTTTGTAGCCTGGATAGAGTATAAAGAGAAGCTCGCTGCTGCTGCTGCCGCTGCTTGCTGCCTTCTGCCTGCTCCACCACACCATGGTCTGTTTCTCCTCTTCAGTGCCCCTCTGCTATGCCACCTGCCTTAGAACCAGCCAACTATGAACTGAAACCTCTACACACTGTGAGCTGAAATAAACCCCTCCTCCTTTAACCTTGGGTGTTAGACATTTTGTCTCAGCAATAAGAAAAGTAAAATGGGGAAATCTCCTAAAAGTTGCATATATGAAGAGAATAATAATACCTAAAAAAATCAATTTATATATGTGAAGAGTCAAAAAATGTCCAGCCACTTTCTCCATTCCTCTACCATTTGTTTGTTTCTTGCTTAATAATATTTCTCTTTATTACAGCACTGACCCATTACAGTCATTCAGGAAGGCTAATCCAATATTAGATCACAAAGCCACCCGCCATGCTGTATCTGCACACATGGAAGCATGGGTGAGTACAAAGGTAGCAAGTGTACAAATGCAAATGCAAATGTACAAATGCACAAATGCAAAACTAATCATCAAACAGCACCACCAGCTCCACCAAGCTGAGGGAAGACTTTTCTTTAAACTTCCCTCTATGCATACTGTGTGGCTTTGTGTGAGCAGCCCTTACTGTCCCCTTGTACATTCAAGCCATAAGGAGGATTGATTCTCCCTATTACTAAAGCACAAAGTCGTCTGTTGCCCTGTCATTTCAACACATTAAATAATGTCAGTGGCCTATCTCTGCCTGTCTTTCACCATGGAGTGAAGAGGAGGAGATAACTCTCTTTAAGCCTGAAGTTAGCGCATCAGTAGTGCTGCAAAATTTGGAAAGAACTGCAACCTCTCAACATCTGACCCTCCAAACTTTTAATCACTCTGGCTTTTGCTACAATTTTAACACCTCCATTCTGCATGTTTAGAATGTCAAACAGCAAAAGGGAATGGGTGTGATGAACAGAACGCACTTGGAATGTAGTGTGTGATGCACTACAAATCAGAACCGGTACTCAGGACGTGTCTGTTCTTCATCATCCTGCTGTGCTATCAACCAACACTACGAGGCCACTGAGGAACATGACAGCCATGCACCACAGGCTGCAGCACACTGAGCAGGCCTCACCAGCACCTGCCATGGGACCCACCTGCTCACTCTGCTCCCACGCGCGCAGCTGCCTAAGGGATGGCACAGCCCAGACACTGAGCTTCCCCGAGAAGTGGATGGCTGCGAGCAGGTTCCCATCCGGAGAGAGGCTCATCTTGAAGATCCCATCCTGTGTGTGAGAATCACAATGTCAGATCACAGGCTTGAGGACAAGCAGAAATGACCCAAGAACCACCGGGCACTCCCCAGGTGCCACGTTACATGCAGTCTTAAACTATCGGAGTTCTGTGTCCACCCCTGCCCTGTGAAGGTGGCCTTTTTTATCTCCTTTATAGTGTCATAATTTATGAGCAATACTAAACCAAAAATATGACTTCACATGCAAATTATCATGAGTTCTCAATAGGGTTGTACCTTACCAGAATGTGAATTCCATGAAATGTGGGCACACATGAACAAGGAATGGTGAAGGGGTACAGTGTCTTTCGGGCAACAAAGCTGTAACTGAAATTGACTGTTGAGATGGTTGCACCATTCTATGAATATACTTGGAACTGGTGAGCTGTACAGTTTAAGCAAGTGAACTGTACTCTATGAATATTTCAATAAAGTCGCTCTCCAATAAGTCATTAAACCATACATTTGCTTAATGTGATTTCCTGTATCCTCTGCATTAAACCATTGCCTCAAATGTCCAAATGGTCTTTTCTTAATTAAAAACACTAATTAAAGCCTTCTGCAATTGGCAGCAATATTTAGAGTAGGAATTGTACCTTTTTTCAAATATTGTTATATAATTTCTATCTGTACTGAGAGGGTTTTTAATGTTAAATGTCAAATCCTTTGTATGAGATTAGCTTAAATTGCCTCACTTTCTTTAATTACCTATCGTCTCTATGAAACAATTAAAATGAGTAATCTCCTATTTTCCATATCTTCCAAGCATACAAGATATGTTAAAATGAAAGTAACAACTTCTGGTGTATATATTCAAAACATCCTGAATTACTACATATTTTTAAAGAAAGAAACTTCAGAGCAGTAAGAAGTAATTTTATAAGTCTGGCTCTTCCAACATTTCAAAAGCACTTAATGAATATTACATATTCACTAATAAGTATCACACACCAGACACTTTGACAAGTGGAGGAATCAACAGTGGACACACATAATTCTCTGCCTTCACAAAGTTCAGTGTCTGTTTTAGCCCACTGTGAGTCAGAAGCCTAATCAAAAAAATAAACAGCAGGCCAGGCATGATGGGGCACAGCTGTGATCCAGCACTCTAGGAGGCTGAGGCAGGAGGATCACCAAGTTCCAGTTCAGCCTGAGCATTTCAGCAAGACCTTATCTCAAAATAAAAAAGGGCTTGGATATAGCTCAGTGCAAAGAGTCTGAGTTCAATCTGCAGTACCATAAAAAAAAAAGTATCCTTCAAATTAAGAAAAAGTTATCCTCAAAAGTCTAGTTAATAACCTGAGAGATAAACACTGTAAAATATAAAGAAAAGAAAAAAGACTTTTAAAAAGTCCAAGTTTGAGTTTGGGGTATATTAAACTGCAATGCAAACAAATCAATAAGCTACTACTTATCAGTTCTACAATTACGAATATAAAGTAACATGGGTCAGTACAGGTGCCGCCATCACTGTTCACTGAATGTTGGTCATACCATAAACACTGCCTCAATGATCTGATATATTAAAACTTTAATACTGTCCAATTTGTTAGGCTACTGTACAGCCTGACAAGTGAACAGTAGAAAATGAACTAATTAGTAACAGTATGATTGCTGTGTAGGAAAGCAGACCCCTTTTTCAAAATATTGACAGTTAAAGCCAGGAGTGGTGGTGCATGTTTGCAATCAAGCCATTTGGGAGGCTGAAGCAGGAGGAATACAAATTTGAGGCCAGTTTGGACAACTTTGCAAGACTGGTCTCAAAAATGAACGTAAAAAGGAGCAGGAGCTGGAGCTCAGTGCTACCTAAGTTTAATCACCAGTAATCCCCTCCCCTAAGAAATTAACACTCTGGAAAAACACACTGTAAAAGACAGTCATAACTGCCACCACACTTGAGTAGTAAAATAGATCATTCTTCCAGAGATAAAAAATAACTTAGCATCTGGACTATTTTTAAGTACAACACACCTGGGCTTCTGTTTCTTCAATTGTCCAGCTAAGGTTTACACAATAAGCAACAGAGGTGGGAAAAAGGCACCTGACACCCAGGCCACCTCTGCCCTGCCTGGCACATGACTCACGTCCCCCTGCCGGCAAGGCAAGCTTCCCAAGACATCCTGTGAGAATCCCTACTTGTCTGACAGAGTACCTAACAGTGAGGGATTCTTGAGATGATCCCTGTGAGCCCTTCCGGCTCTAAGACACAGCACTAAAACAGCACCAACCATAATCATTTCGGGCTTGAAATCTCCACAGGCAAGATAGATACATGTAAGATAATGTGCATAGCATTCACATCTTTACTGGGAGGCACTGGTTTTAGAGCACTAAACTCAAAAAGTCTTTTTAAAAGGCTCAAACACTTGTAATTCAAGAACAGCATGCCAGGGGGGAGGATCAAATACAAGGATGTGAATTCCCTGCTTCCCCTGCTCCCACTCAGTCACAGAGGACCCTGACGGCAAGCGAAAGGAGCCAAGAGTCACAGGAGAGAACAGACAGCGGCGGGACCCAGGCAACTTGCCTTCAGCTCCAAGAGGGAGAAGAAAGGCTGGCACCCTTAACACTGACGAGCAGATCTCCATTGCTTCTTCATGTGCTGACACACAATGAAGCTTGTCTCTGCTAAATACCAGATGCAACACAGAGAAAAGTCAGAAATGGCAACCCAAAATAGTTCTGGTTCTGAGTATCACTTAACTATGTTGGTCCACATAAAATAAGCACAGAAACCCAAAACAAAGCATTAAGGGTCACTGCCCAGCAAACAGGGCATCCCAATGACACTCTTGCATTGAGTAGCACTGTGACCATAGCTGTGTCCCCTCCTCTATGGGACTCCTCCCTGCTTCTGCCTTCCAGCCAGGTGTCACCCCACAGGTGAGGGTCCCCTCTGCTGCATGCCAATGCCTTGTGATTTACAGCAGAGGATGGCACAAAGTGTCACATGGTCCTACTGCAGCTGGTCTCAAGGCCTGTTCCACCACACTTCGGACACCTGAGGAAGTACACTGTAACTATTCATCTATCTACACTCAGCCTAACACCACCTCGCTCAAAAGTGAGAGCTTACTCAATAAGTGAATACTGCCTAGAGTAGGAGCACTTGCCTGTAATCTCGGCACTCAGGAGGCTGAGGCAGGAGGGTTGCTGAGAGGTCAAGGACAGCCTGGGCTACAAAGTGAGTTCAAGACCAGCTTGAACTACACAGGAAGATACTTTCTCAAAAAACAAACAGGGATGTAGCTCAGTGGTACTGTGCCTGCCTCACAAGTGCAAGGTCCTAAGTTCAATCCCCAGTACCACAAAAAAAGAACTAATACCAAAACGCCACATTCTTGCTTAATTATGTTCAACAGTTTCTAAAATATGAACCCCCTAAATATTGTTAAAGATAAAGTGCTTTATTTTGATATTATTAAGGAGAATGGCAAAGGGAGAAGGGTCCAGAGCACAGGCAAGTAACAGCCCCTTGTGCCCTTATGGTGACAGAGGAGACCACCCAAACGGGGTAAGAAAGAACAAAGGTTAAGGCAGACTGAGTTAGTCCTGCACAATTCTTCAACTGCAACAAGGACAACCCCATGACATAGCCACAGAGAACACAGCCTGAGGACAGGTACACAGCCAAAGTGAACAAGGAACAGTGTGTTACCTGCGTGGCTCACAAACAGAACGGCACACCTATCCAGAACGTGTGATTAGCTGAAGTCGATTACAGAGGCAGGTTCTGAAGGTAACGTTGAAATACACATACTACATGTGACTATAGCAGCAGCATGCTCACTGTGTCATCTCCCCTGGACTCAGTGAAGACATTTAGGAGATGATAGAGAAATTAGGCCGTGTGATTCTGCCCAAGACAGCAACAGGATGCGACTCTCCCAGGTAGGTCCAGACTCCTGAGACATCCACAAGAGATTTCTCAGAGAGGCCTCCCTAGCCTGTCAGTGGTGCTCAGAAGGAAGCTGCCCACCTCCCTGGCTCGGTCACACAACAGTAAGATGATGGCACCTGAAACCTGGGTCAACAAGGCTCCCATCCTCCTGGACCACTGACAATCTCACATTTGGGGAGGATTTTTTTTAATTTTACAGCAAACAAAGAAGGATTTATTATGGATGAAATTTTTATGTTTTTTAAGATTAAAAAATAAGAATGTCACATGATGCTTCTAGGAGAATTCTTATGGCTTGGATGTCCTCCCAAAGCCTTATGTGGCCATACGTAGGGCTTTTCCAGAGGTGGCTGGATCTAGAGTGCGTGGCTGGAAGTGAATCATGGTGCAGTGCTAGGCTCAAGGACGCTAGGATTAAGGGTGTGAGGGTGACCTGCCTAAGTAGTCTGGGTAAGATAAAAGGTGCAGAAAGAGGCTCCTGAGGTCTCTTGTTGCTTTTGCTGTCTGCGGCATACAATGAACTGTTCTCCTGTGTGTCACCCCTCTGCCATGTGCCACGCTGCCTTGGAGCCAGCCCACGATGGACTGAAACCTCTACAAACTGTGAGCCAAATAAACCTCTCCTCCTTTAAGTTTGCGTGCCGGGGGTCTCAAAAAGTAAGTAAGACAAGAATTCTTCAGGCTGTATCTTCAGACCCCAAGAGGACTAGGCTTGATTCTCTACATTTTTTCTTTGTGTTCTTTGAGTTAAGATTGATAAGACATTAGCATTCACAGACATTCAGTAAACAGCTCTATAAATGCTTCCTAGTACAAACACTCACATTGTGCATAGTTATGGACACACCCAGGTGAAGATCTGAAACACCTTTACAGGTAGATCTACCTGTAAAGGGAGTCTGATGACGACACCTGAGGACCTGAGGTTAAACAGATCGCCATTACCTGTTCTTGGCCCTGGCGGCTATAAAGCTTGGTGCTTAACATCCTTAGTAGTCCCAGTGTCTTTGGTGCCTGCAAAACAAATGCACATCATACAAAGAAAGATTAATGGAATGGATTCTTATGTATGTCATTTTATCGTGAAATGAAAACTACAGCATATTTTTTTAAGTAGTTAAGAAAAATCACTAATAGGTGTAAGGGATCTTGATACTGTTTAGTTTGGGGGAAAAAGTCAAGTGTTACAATCTTACAAAATATATCCAAGATCAAATGCCTTTGTTAAATCTATAGCTAGAAAATCTAGCACAACTGACTCAAATTAGAACCAATTAAGATCTTTTTTCAAATGAACCATCCTCAATTACCATTTTGTTACCCAGCATCACTAGGGGAAAATCTCAGATCTTCCGATAGAAATTTCATTCAGTAAGAACTGACTCTATACTTTAAAAATACCAGAAGGAAATCCATTGTTTAGATATTTTAAAGTAACTTAATAAAACATAGCACTGTTTTTGTGTTTAGATTTAATAAATACACTTACACAAGCAAGAAAATGTGATGACAATAAGAAATGGAAAATAATCACTGTAGAGGATATAGAGAATTGTAACACTCCCACATTATTTCTGGAGAGATGGTAAAATGGTACAGCCACTGTGGAAAACGTTGGTAGCTCCTCAGAAAGTTAAGCACAAGATTATAGTCTCACAATTCCTTCCTGGGCCTATCTCAAAAGAACTGAAGTCAGGTACTCAAACAAATCTTTGAAGTGGATGATCACAGCAGTATTATTCACAATAGCCAAAAAATGAAAATAACTCAAATGTCTATTAACCAATGAATGAAGAAACAATATGCCGTCTATCCCTACAAAGGAATTTTAGTCAGCCATAAAAAGGAATAAAGTACTACTCCATGCTATACAACAGTGAAGCCTCAAGAGTATTATGGCAAGTCAAGATGCCAGATAGGAAAGAAACTGAAGAGGACATCAGAAATGGAAAGACGTTCTTTGTTTGAAAAGGGAAAGACATCCCATGTTTTTGGATGAGTAGAATCTAATATTGTTAAAACAGTCGATGTATGCATTCAATGTGATCCCTATTAAAATTCAACAACATTCTCCACAGGACAAGAAAGGAATTTGGAACCAGAAAACATCCAGAATAGCCAAAAGAAACCCTGAGCAAAAGGAGCAACGATGGAGGGACCACTATTCTACTGGACGTCAAGCTCTACTCTAAAGCCATAGTAAGAAGAACATGGCACTGGCACCAAAACAGGTACAGACCAGTGAAAAACAAGAGAAGTCACAGAAACAAACCCATGCACCCACAGCCATTGGATATTTGTACAGGACCAAAAACATATGCTGCAGATAAGATAGCCTCTTTAACAATGGTTCTGAGACAACTGGACAGCCCCGTGAAGAAGACTGAAACTGGGGCCAGGGATTTAGCTCAGTGGTTCTGCCACCTGCCTTGCAAGCACAAAGACCCGAGTTCAGTCCCTGGTACCAGAAAAAGAAGACTGAAACTGGATCCCCCTCTCTTGCCCTGGGCAAAAATCATATCAAAATACATCAAAACCCTAGACAGAAATGGGAAACACTGAGACTGCTGGATGACAACATAGGCTGAAGCCACAAGCACAGAAAAGACTTCCAAGATTCAACAAACAAACTATTTTAAATTAAAGGTCTCTGCACAGAAAAGGAAACAACTAACAGTGAAGAGACCCCACTGCATTAGGGAAAATCTTCATCAGCTACTCTTCTGCTGGAGGAATAATATCTAGAATATAAAAAGAACTCTAAAAAATTAATCCCCACAAAGTAAGGAACTTGATTTTTTAAAAAGTAGTCAAATTAACTGAATACATACTTCTCAGAAGAAGTTCAAATGGCCAAAAAGTATATGGAAAATGTTCAAAAGCTCTATTCATTAGGGAAATGCAAATTAAAATAACATTAAGATTCCATCTCACCGCAGACAGAACAGCCATCAAAAATACAAAAAGAAAAGCAACGAATGCTGGTGGGGTTGTGGGGAAATGGATTCTCTTGCTCTGTTGGTGAGAATGTGACCTGGTACAGCCACCATGGAGATCAGCATGGAGATCCTCAAAATACGGAACATAAAGTCACCCTCTGACCCAGCGAGACCAGCCAGGTGTATTCCAGAAAGAATTAAGGACTGTGCGTAACAGCGGTCCACGCACACCCACATTCACAGCAGCACCGTGCACAGTGGCTGAGTGGTGGGACCAGTCTAGATGCCCACTGACACAAGAATGGGTAAAGACAACGTGGAACACACACACAGTGGAGTATTATTCAGCCATGAGGAAAAACGGCTATCATGTCATCTGAGGGAAAATGGACAGAACGAGAAACCATCACATTAAGAGAAATCAGCCAGACTCAGGAAGTTAAATACCATGTGTTTTCTCTTATATGAGGAATCTAAAACATACATAGTTGATGAATAAATAAAGTGAGAGAGGGCAGATGACCAGCTGGTAGACTTGAGATAGGAGAAAGGTATAAGCTGGAAGGGGGAGGACCGTGGAAACGAAACTGAATTAGGTTCTATGCATGAACCTCCCCTCCCAAAACAAACCTCACAGTCATGTAATATTAACAAGCACTAGCAAAATATAATAGGATTTTTTTTTTTTTTTGAGACAGGGTCTCACTATGTAGTTGAGACTGACCTGGAACTCACTCTGTAGCCCAGGCTGGTCTCAAACTCACAAAGATCCTCCTGCCTCAGCCTCCAGACTGCTGGGATAACAGGGTGCAACACCATGCCCAGCTTATAATACAATTTTTTTTTTTTTTTTGCTTTTCACTAAATTTATTTTTTTTTGTTTGTTTGTTTTTGAGACAGGGTCTCACTATGTAGTTGACCTGGAACTCACTATGTAGCCCAGGCTGGTCTCGAACTCACAGTGATAATCCTGCCTCAGCCTCCCAAGTGCTGGGATTGCAGGCATGCACCACCACACCTGACTGTTTTTGTTTTGTTCACTTTTTTTTTTTTTTAATTTTATTGAGTTTATTGGTACATTTTAGGGATACAGTACAGTTACATTCACGATTTTTAAAACAAGAAAAAGCAGCAGCCTCAATAACATAAAACATTCATCTGAGTGTGTGGCACAGGTTTGTAATCCTGAATATTGGGAGCCCGAGGCAGAGGGTCATAAGTTGAAGGCCAGCCTGGGAAACTTTTCGAGACCCTATCTCAAAAATGAGAAAAAAGTTTACAGTGCTCCATAGCTGTAACTCAGTACTCACTGAGCTCAATCCCCAGATCTACCTACACCAAGAAAAAAAAATCAAATTTTGTTGATTTTACATGTACTTTTATCCAAAATTTTGATTTTAAGAATACAGATGGGGGCCAGGGATTTAGCTCAGTAGTTCTGCTGCCTGCCTCACAAGAGCAAGGACCTGAGTTCGATCCCTGGTGCCAGAAAAAGAACACAAATGGACAAAAATAGCCTCACAGCTCACCTCAGAGTTGATCGAGTGCTTTCACATGCAGCACCTCGTGCGATCCTGGCAGACACCTCGGTAGGTGACTGCAAAGTGTGAGCTGGGATTCAAGCCTCAGCCTTCTCACTCAAGAGCCCGGGTCCTCCTTTTGGCCCTGGTATTAAATTCTGGCCCGGTTCCTGTGACAGCTTATTGTATTTAGCTGCGGACAGAGCAATATTCTTTCTAATCCTAATGCCCGCAGCAGCGACTCAATGTTGAACAAATGAACATATAAAAATACCTCACATGGATGGCACTGACATTAATTTAGAAATTTTGTTCAATGCAGATATTGAATTTTGCATAGCCTCTTTTACAACCTAGCGGCCTGGGGAGAGACTAGAATATATACATCAGAAGCGTGTTCCCATCAATATTATCCCGGCACAACTGCAGCCTTAAAAAACATTAAGAGGAGGTTCGATGAGAGCAATGTCAGCCACCTGACAAAAGCAGCTAATCCTGTAACCTCAGACATCATTAGGGCTCTGCAGAACGACTGTGAGTTTAGCTGTGAGACACGTTTAAAAGCCACTAATGTAATTAAAATACACTTGTAGCGTTTCAAGAAGTTAATCATATGGCAGGACACTCAGTTTGCAAATCAGTATTTTTCCTACCTATTCTGTCAGAGCACAAGCAATCTTCCTTTGCAAGACTCCAGTGAGGCCTCAGGTCCAGGAGAGAAGGACCATGCACATCACAGCAGTGTGCAAAGAGCTAAGAGAACGCCCCGGGGAACCCAAGAGCCCCGGAAAAGGCTTGTGGTACACAGGAGGGCTCTGCGCCACACCCCGCCCAGAGCACTGGGTCACACAGGTGCCAACTACCTTCACACCTCACCTCCTTTACGTCTCCCTGCCTCCTCCACGCTCATCAAGTTTGTTCTTTTTACCTCAATGCATAATTTTGACAGATTTCATAGCTACAGAGAAGTAATGATCATATAATAAGCTGTCAGCAAACCTTTCATGGGGGTGAGCAGTTATTTATATTTTGCCACGTTGTTTAATCTCTACATACGCAGGCAGGGCTTGGCTTGGTTTCAGACAAGATCTTCCTATGTGGCTTAGGCTGGCCTGAAACTCACATTCTTCCCGCCTTGGCCTCCTTAGTGCTGGATTAAAGGCATGCGTTATCACACCCCGCTTCTTACATGTTCTTACATACTTTTAAAATAACTGTATTTTGACTAAACCATTTGCAAATAAGCTGCAGGCATCATATTTCCTTTGGATAGATTTCAGGGAGAAAAATTCTTCAAATACCTTCTGAGATTTGCCCTGTCACATATAAAACTACAAACTGCATATGAATTAAGCCAGAAAGATAAAAACAGCTAATACATCCCTACAAACAAGAAATAATGTGCCCAGTATGTACAAGTAACTACTACCTCACTCTTAACTTTTTGGTAACTATGGCATAATCATCATAACATAATCAGACATGGATACAATTTCACAGGGGAGAGAAGTGCTACAGCGGAAGTGGGAGGCAGCCCATCCCATCTCCTGCTTTCAGGGTTCACGCCAGGGCGTTCAGCCCTGGCTCCTATCTGAAAGCCTCACACTGCCCTCCTGCCTGCGTTCTGCAGACAGCATCAAAGGGCAGCAGAAGAGGAAGTAGAGAACAAACAGAAAAGCCCAGGACTGCATAAGCTGAGCCACAAGCACAAATGGATATAAGGTCAGGTGCCACATAAAACAGTAAGTCAATCTCACTTGGAAAAAAAAAAAAGACCACTTTGTTGGGTGAACTCACAATCATATATTTCAGCATATGTCAAGAGCTAAAAAGCAATCACGGAAGATGACTATAATTGCTAAAGATTTCTTTTCAAAGGTACATCTGCATTAGTTCCTTTTCAATACCAAACCATTTATTCTTTTAGGAGGTTATTTTTAAATCATTCTATTTCAAGAAAAATAACAGGGCAAACACATTACTGAAGCAAACAGCCAAACATATTTATTTGTGTTGTACTTCGGCTTAATTTTTTGGCTTCTTCCCTCACTCAAAGAGAAATCTAACTGCCTACCACACAACACTGCCCACCCATCACAGGAAATGTGCTACATATGAGGTGTGTAATTTTGATCAAGTGCCTGCTTTCATGTAGTTTACAGAGTGGCAATGTGATGGACAGAGCCAGTTAGTATCCACCAATACCTAGTTTTCTCACTTTTCTAGGCAACTAGAGAACTACTCCCAGACCCTTTGAAACTAGGAGGGACCACGTGGTTAGCTTTAAGCAAAGAGAGATGCTGCTGCTTCCAGTGTAATATGTAAAAGTCCCATTTTTTAATCCTCTCTTCCCTTCTAAGGTCATAAATTGAGACAGAGAGGCCTCGAAAGGGGTCCCCCATAGGTCTTATGATTACCAGTTAGAACAAGCCACCGAGGACAGACAACAGCAAACTTTTCCACAAATAACGGTATGTTTATGTGGCAAGTGACAGAAATACTAGGACTTTTCATTGCTTGTTCATGGGATTGTCTGCACTGTTACAATGGTATAGAAGCTGAGACTACATTGACTATTGCATTTAAAGGAATTGTGTCAGTCAGCTTTCCCTTGCCATGTGAAAAATCTGAGACAGCTCAAAGGAGGAAAGGCTACTCTGGCTTACAGATTCAGAAGGTTCAGTCCATGGCATGCAGCTCCATTGCTTTTATGCCTTTGATAAAGGCAGCAGGAGAACGTGGCTGAAGAAAGCCACTCACCTTAAGGCAGTAAGAAGGGAGAGAGTAAGAAAAAGATAAAGCCTTCAAAATCAGGCAATGAGTGAGCTACTTCCCTCCTAGTAGTCCATTCAGCTATGAGCTCATCAATGGCTTAGTGGCCTCATGGTCCATTCATCAATTCAGCATTTCTTAAACCAATCAAACTGCTGTGGACGTTAGCGGTCACAGTGCAGCATGGTTTGGTACTTGTCCCCAAAGGCTCACATGTTAGAGGTGTGGTTGCCAGCCTGTGGTGCTACTGGGAGGTGGGGGAACTTTTAGAAGGTGAGGATCTACCAGAAGAAGTTGTATCAGGGGCACTGTGCTCTGGAAAGGGCTATAAGGACTCCATCGTTCCCTTCCTTCTCCATCCACCACCACTTCCCAGGAGCCATGAGGTGAGTGCTGCCCATGCACCACTATGGACTATGCCTCAACAGGGCCAAGCCACCACGGACTGAACCTCTGAGACTGAGCCAGGATGAATCCTTCGTCCTTATGAAGTGTTTGTCTGGGAATCCTGTCATGGCCACAGAAAGCTGAGTAACACCGGGGTGTGTGACGCAAAAGAGAATCCCATGAATGGGCAGATGAAGAGTCGAGAAAGACAGGAGACGCTACGGGAGGAAGTACACCACAGTGTTAAGAACACGGGCTGGGAACTCCAGCCGGTGTGGATGCTAATTCTGCCTCCTGCTAGTGAGGGAGCCCAGCACAACTTCCCCAAGCGCACTCACCTTCCTTATGAAGAGACTCAGGCTGACAACAGCACCACCTCAAGGGGTCAGTGAAACAAGCTGGCCAATGAGCTAGCATTCAGAACAGTTGCTCAAACACAAAAGGGCTCCCTAAACACTAACCCTAACCTAGCAAACCCACGGAATGAGACCACAGTTTGGTTGTTTTCTAATAACTGAAAATACTGTCCGAGTTAAATTCAACATACTTTATTAAATTTGATATTTGAAAGAAGTACTACAGCTGAACTAGCATTCATCTTCCTCACTTAACACAAAATTATTTCTTCCGCTAAGTCTCACAGAGGATGTGTTTAAGACCGATTAGAAATGTGAAATGCTGCGGCAAGCACTTACCACAGTGACCCTGTCTCTACCACCGGTGACCTCCTTGTAATACGGCGATCCCGAGAGGACTCTCCACGCAGACAGGCCGCAGCTGACTGCCTTCGAGACGCCCGCCTCAGCGTCCCCACAGCCACCGACCAGCAGGAGTCTGAAAGAGAAAAAAATAACAAACTGAAAAATTGTAAATATGAACAAGGTAAAAGCAAAAGAGAGATCACAGGCAGGAACAAGGGGAAAAAATGAGAACCAAGACCTGTCATGTAAAGGTACGAGATCCCAATAATGAATGTAACTGTACTGTATACGTAAAATGTACCAATAAACTCAATGAGGAAATAAATAAATAAATAAAAGAGAGAGATCACAGAAAGTCGCCTTCACAAGAAAACTAAATTAAATTTAGTATGTTTTAAGCCTGGAAGGTCAGCATCTTAAGCAAAACAACCACCAGAAATACAATGGTTTCTTTAATTAGAATTTCATCCTCACCTATGCAGAAGCAACACTTAAACATTGAGTGGGGCACTCAGAAAATTGGGGAAATGTCTTAAGCTCAGTCACTGCATACTGAAGACATTACCCAGATCAACACCAGTGAGTGCCAGGGTAGCTTCACCAGGTGCACACACATCACCTGTATCTGATGCTAAAAGGGCACCGGGATAGCACATCAGGAAGAAATGACAAGCTTACGTAGTGGCGCACACCTGTAATCCCAGCACTCTGGAACGCTGAGGCAGGAGAATCACAAGCTCAAACCCAACCTGGGTAACTGAGTGACTCAAGACCCCATCTCAAAATAAAAAAGACATGAGGGTGTAACTCAATATGGAGGCCCTGGGTTTGAATTTTTATGAAAAAATAAATTTTCATAACCAAATAGTAAGAGTAAGTTATTACACTGACACTGCGTTATCTTCAAAGAACACTCACCTTTACCATATTCTTAGATCTAAGATTTTCAAAACTAGATAAAAATCCTTTGCGATTTAGCTACAGACCTTAGCCAAACTCCAGATCTATAAAGTTTATATTCATATTTTCTTCACAGAAACACAACTTGAGCCTTCACTTGAGTTATTTTCCAATTCCTGTTTTTATATAATGCCTCTCACACATTCACACCAGCAAAGCAAAAGCAACGAGTCTGGAGGCAATGGCTGGAAGCAATCTGTCTGGACTGTTCCACTTTCAGCAAACCCTCAGAACCAGAATACAATTAACACTCTTCGCCAGGACAAGAGGGATTCGGGTCCAAAGCATCACTCACCCACAGCACAGCTTCTGTCCCACTGCAATACATCCCCCCGGCCGGGGATTTAGCTCAGAGGTTCCGCCGCCCGCCTTGCAAGCACAAGGACGCAAGTTCAATCCCCGGCACCAAAAAAAAAAAAAAATATTTCCCCCAAAATTATACCCAGTACAGATGAAGCCATATCAGCCCTCTGAGTCTCACCAGCAAGTTGGACAAAATACAAAGAAAAAAGCATTTTAAACAACCCCCTAAACATGCAACCAACAAAAGGTCTGGTTTGGTTTCTTAGGAATACACAGACACACATATCTACACACGCGCGTGCACACCCATACATGGGGGGTGAGGAGAGAAGACAGTGAAAGAATGAGAAAGCAGAAGGCAGATCAATGAATTCGAGAGAGCATCACCTGGATGTTGGAGGATGTAAAGGAATATTGTTACTCCTGGGTGTGTCAATGGCATCGTGTTTGTATCTTCTTAGAGCCCTTACTTTGTAGAAATACATACAAATATTTGCAGATGAACTGATTCACTGTCAGAGGTTGACTTCGAAGGGCCCAGAGAGAGCCAGGGGGAGGGAGGGCTGGCTGGGACCAAGGAGAAGCGATGTGATGCTGGCCCCCACCAGGCCCTGCCCGGGGGATATGCACCAGGGAGTCACTACGGCGTCCCTCTTTGTCTACATGCTTCAAATTTCTACAGAAAATAACTTCTCCCCAAAATCTGTTTGCTAGGATAAACTCTTCTAAATAAACAGAAACAAAACATGTAACTTTTAAACAGAAAACACGATTCTATAAAATAGATCTTTAAAAACCAATAACCTGCCAGGTGTGGTTCTACAAACCTATAATTTCAGCACTCAAAGGCTGAGGCAGGAGGATTGCTATGAGTTCAAACCCAGCCTTGGCTACATAGTGAGTTCAAGGCCAGCCTGAACTACAAAGTGGGACAGCAAAGCCAAGAACTAGTAAAGGAGGCACCAAGAAAACATCTTCAAGATTTGTGAGTGAGCAAGATACCACACTCTTTGCTGGACTCTTCACCTTAAAGATGCTAATTCCTCTTAAATTAATCTGCAGACTGCAATAAGTATCAAAGAAAACTCTAGCAGAATTCTTCACAGTACCAAACAAAATGATTTAATGCAACCAGACCCACGTATGATTCACGTGGAGAGGCACAGGTGGATGCATTCACAATGACTGGTCCTCACCTATGACCTGGGCTCTGTGCATCTCTTCCCACCCTTGCGTCATGAACATTCGCTTGCCCATATGACCACAGTAGAATGTAAAGCTTCTATCTATAAAGTGAAATAGCAAATTGCATACTAGGAGAAGTTTTTACAACATATAAAGGTAATAGTGTACTAGTAGAGAGAATTATATAAAGATTCCCCCACCTGTCTAAACAAAAAATAGACAGGGAAAAAGCAACAGCAAGTCGGAGGAAGAGAAAACCAAGAGTACAGATTAAACACCAGAGATTTACACTAAGCACCCTGCAGATGGGGTAAGGACATGGTAACACTTCAGAACTACTGAGGCTGCATTTAGGTGAGAACGCTCGGGTGCAGTGGGGATGGTTAGGGATGTGGCAGTAAGTCTTGTCAATCACTAGTGAGACTGCATTTACAGTAGAGAGGACGGACATGGATATACACAGCAGAAGGCCAGGCTCCAACATCATGACACTGCAACCAGAGAAGAGGAATTAAGGCAAGAGGGGAGCAGGAAACAGTGTCTGTATTATTGTCTGTACAATAATAGATCTCCATACATACACGCACACAGTCTCTTAGGTAGAAGAGACAGCATTTGTAAATCGTGAGTAGCAGGTGCTTGGGTGTGTAGTACACTACTCTCAGTACTTTTTTCAAACTCAAAATGAGGACTATTAAGACTTAGTATCTAAAATTATGTATATAAATTCTCAAATTAATGAAGTCCAAGAGGAAAAATATCAGTCAACTGGCTTTTACATATTGCATCAACCCACAAGTCTAATTAAATACTGAAAAGGAAATTAGCATATAATGTGCTTTGTGACATTTAGAGGTTGTTTATATATTAGTGGTTATATTTTAAGCATTCTCTGAGTTTTTACTGAAATAACTGTTATATTTTTATAGAAATTAAGTCTACAGACAGACAATTCTGTAGTAAATAATGTGTCATTAATTTTGTTTTATGTTGCATTAAGTTCCTCCATCCAGAATATTTATATGCACTGGTAACCATTAATCCTTAGGTATATAAGATATTTGGCTAAGTTCTTAATTTCAGAGTCACATTCTGGAGAAAATAATTACATCTACTTTCAAATTATCATATGAAGATATACAAAGAAACAGAATTTTTAGGGTCTAAATTATAATTCTCCACACTAAAGTACATGGTATGTGGAAAATTAACAAAACTTTACCTCTTCTTAACAAAAACAAAACAGAGGGGAAATGAGACTGTCTTTCCCAATAGTCCTTACACTCGAATTCCACAGACAACGGCAGGAAACAGAGGTCTACAAGTGAGGGTACTGGGTTAGCCCGCGGTCTGGACACAAGCTGCCAGGCTGAGCGCCTGAGCCCCGGGCGCTGTCCCAGCAGCCCGGCCCTCACTCTTCTTGGAAACCACCCCCAGCGCCGCTTCCCTCAGCAGTCTCACGCAGTACAGCATGCTGCCTGGGCCACACAGCGCCCTCAGCTTCCCCAGGCCCTGCAGGGACACCACACACGCAGGCACAGACCCGAGCTGGCCCCTGCTCATAGCACCTCTGCAGCCACCTCGAGGTTAGGGACGAGAAGTGCCACAAGGCCCATTATTTGCACACGGGACAGGTTGACGTCGTCACAGGGAGGCACAGCTGGCCTCGCGAGGATCTCCTGGGCACTGAGGTGCGAGAACGGCAGACACACAAGTGCTTCCAGCAGCCAGAGGACAGACAGGCAGGGCCTCAGCAGCGCAAGCTACATTCTGCTCCCTCCTGGGCACCTGTCCCATCCCACCTCCTGCACTATGCACTTGTTCACAAGCACCTCCAGCATCAAACGTGGAGCCGCCAGGGTGCAGACTACATCTAATCCACCTTTGCATCCTGTGCACCACTGACGGCTGACGTTTCAGCCAAGCAACACCCACCTGAGCACCGCCTGAGAGGATGTCCAGGTGCACAGAGGGAAGGAAGACAGAGTCCCCGGCCTTGGCTTAACAGTGTTAGCTTCAGTCCTCCCGCCTGAGAATGAAGGGGCTGAACAAATGGTGAACTGAGTCTTCCAGCTCTGAGAGCCTGAAGAGTCTAAAACTCCCAGCAGGAACACAGACATTAGACCACAAAAATAAACTAAGTGATGGAGAATGGCGCACGCGCGCACGCACACACACACACACACACACACACACACACACACTCATGAGGAAGGAATTAAAGAAGCCTGAATAAAAGCAGAAGCCAAGTAAGAAAGGGGACAGTAACCCAGACATGGGAAAAAAAATCCAGCAGAGAGACAGGACGCAAGGCCCTGAGCATTAAACCATATGTGACATTGATGACAATGAAGTTGGGAGCCATCCTGAAAACTGATTCTGAAAACAAGCCAAAGAGTTTATCAAGAAGGCTCTTCAGTCTAACACTGGCTGGAAGAATCTGCCCTCTAGTGGCTTAGAATTCCTTCAAGTCAAAGTACAGCATAGGAAGTTTCAAACAATGAGAATTTCTGTGTGTGCTGTCAAATGCCTGCTGGGTCCAAAGCTTAATGGCAAGAAAGGAGGAATGGGGAGGAAAAGGCTCCATGTCCCCAGTCCGGGGCCCCAGTTTGAAACTCTAGGCGAGTGTGCGGGAACCTCAATGCTGCTGGTCAAGGACCACGCCATGGAATCCACTTTACATTA